GTAGTAGTAGTAGTAGTAGTAGAGCCGCTAGGTCACACATCATGTAACTTCGTCTTGTTTGATCTTCGGGTTGGGTTCACACCCAGTGAGTGCTTGGTGCGGTAACATGCCCACCATGCGTGGAGCCCGCTCGCGCAGCGTTCAATTGAAAATGGTGTTGTTTTGGTTGTTGTTGTTGTTGTCCGCGGTGGTGGTGGTGGTGGTGGTGGTGGTGGTGGTCGTCATCAGCGAGGTCGTCACCAGCGTCGCCGCTGTTGTCGTCATGTCATCGTCGTTGTCGAAATCTTAGCTGTCATAGCTATACTCGTTCAGAAGCAGAGCAGTCAACGATTGATGGTCATCGTCACCATCATCATCATCATCACCATCATCGTCATCATCACCATCATCATCATCATCATCACCACGTCATCATACTCATACTATTTTGATGATCATCGCCATCAGCATCAGCTTCAGCATCATCACCAGCATCAGTTATCATCATAATCATGATCACCATCATCAGCATCATCATTCGTCAGCGTCATCGTCAGCATCTGACTGGCCAAGGCCCGTCTTGGGCGTGTCTATTTGCTGGGACTACCGCAAGGATGTGGACATCGTGTGGCTTTGCCTGAATCCCGCCCCTCCAGTCGTCCCCACTGCTGGAAGAAGCTGGTCCCAACCCCAACTGAAGGATCCGGCTTTTCTGTGAAAGTGCAAGCAAAACGGCAACTTGTCAAGTCCTTTTGCATCCAGCTTCTCTGATGTGACTGGCCTCGGTAGCCAAGGAAGGCCTGCGTGGATGCGTCCCTGAAAAAGAGCCTGGATCCTGAGCCGAAGGCTGGAGACCCCTGCCACACGAGGGAGCGAGAGAGAGAGAGGGAGAGAGAGAGATCGTGCGAGACGGTCCAACGCTCAGCGCAGGGTCATTTCTGAAGAGGGGCCTGCGAGGTCACCATTCTCATCACTCCGTTTAGCAGCATCTCAGCCGTCGTCGTCGTCCTACTCATTATCGCTAAGCAAAGAATCATAGCGACAGCATTGGAGCGGAGCGTTGTTGGCCAGGTCCCCACTACACCTTCACGGTGGATATTGCAGCGCTTTTTTATGATGGTGGAGCGCAAAGGTCCACCGGTTGACGGGCTCTTCTCCATCCGTTTTTCATGAATTTCGGAAGAAGTCGACATGCAGAAACGCAAGAAGTGCTGCTGAGATTGTAGTACGCACCAGAGGATTCAAAGGCCCGCCGGAGATTCGGGCGACTTGTTGCTTGACAGCGCTTCGCGAAAGACGCTTAGAGGTGCAGCAGCGACAGCAACAAGCAGCCGCAGAAGAGTAGGCTTAAAAGATAATTTGGTAGTCTCCGATGATCCCACCACCGCCAGCTTTGGGCGAGCGGGATGACGACAAGAAGCCAGAGCAGGCTCGAAGTGATGTGCGGGGTTTGTACCCACAACGAACACTGTGCCTTACATGCATGCTCCTCGTCGCGGCTGCGCCTTTGCAGCCTGACTGCCTGCTCCCCGTGCTTCCTAGCTGCTGATTTCTGCCTTGCTCACTGGGTGCCCTGGCTGGGGGGCTCCTCTGCCACTTTGTGTCCAAGCGGTCGACGACGCTTCCAGCTTTCAGTGCCGCCATCATGATGGACTGCTGTGAGATGCTGGGAGTAGGATGACCATGGTTCGATCTTCTGAGATCTGATAGGTCTGCTGGGGGTAGTAGACTAGTAGACTTAGTAGACCACCTACTCGTAGAGTCACGTCTCACGTCCTCCCAAGACTCTTCTGACTGAAACCCGACGAGGTGCGGGAGCTGCTCTTGGACCTGAACTCTTCGGGTCCGCATCGCCAGAGATTTTTTCTGCTTCGCTGCCGTCGCAATAGTAGGATTGTCGCGTCGGGCCAAGGTTTCTGTTGCTCGAAGATTCTTTTCGCGGTGTGGCAGGTGCCTGTTTCGTGATCTTCCCGTCCGAGCTTGCGAGGGACAAAGCCGTGGCCAGTTCCGGCGGCTGCCTCATTGCTCCAGATCTTGTCTGCGTGCAGGCAGATGTTACTTCTCATGCTGTTGCCACAACTCTTGTCACGGCACTACTAGCGCTACTCTTGCTACTGTTGCTTCTACACTAGCTGCCACTTGTATCATCTTCTCGTTGCAGTGTGCAGACCGGTCTTTCGTCGTCGGCAACGCCATCTCTATGAGCATCAGCATTAGCAACAACATCAATATCATCATCATCAGCAGCAGCACCACCACCATCATCATCATCAGCCCCACCACCATCATCATCATCATCATCATCGTCATCACCACCATCGTCATCATCATCATCATCATGCTCCTCCTCATCATTGCCATTTATCTTGATCACCACCACCATCGTCATCGTCATCATGATCATCGTCATCATCAGCATGCCTCTCCTCATCATCGTCATCATCGCCATCAAAGATCATCAAGATCATCAAGATCATCATCATCATCATCATCATCATCATCAGCATCATCACTACCACCATCATCATCGTCATTGTCCTCCTCCTCCTCCTCCTCCATCATCATCATCATCACCACCACCATCACCACCATGAATAATCATCATCATCATCAACATCATCAGCATCANNATTATCAGCATCGTCATCATCATGAAACATCTCACCATCATCTCAGCTTCATCGTCCGTAGTTGTGAATGCGCAGAGCTTGCAGACCTGCACTTTGCGAGATTTTGCCCCAGCTCGGCACAGGCCCGGGTAGCAACATCCCGTTCTACATGACATATACTTGAAACAAGTACAGCACTGGCTTTCTACCCTACTTATTGCTTCATCACTCTCGACAGGGGCCTCAGGTGAAGTGTTGTTAAGCCATCCGGCCATGCAGCATTCACTACGAGATCTGCGCATTCCAGACACGGCGCCGCTGGCAGAGCAGCTTCAAAAGGTGGGGTCCCATGAACGGTTGATCATGCGGCATCATGCGGCTGTGTCAGGATTGGGTAATTTGCGNNCGCCTGCTGCCTTCCTTAGATGTGGCTTTGACGCTGCACTCGCTTCGGTTTTGCCTCTTTTGTTCCATGCACTGCACTTGTGTGTCCTAGACTCACCACCATTTCTCGACTATGTAAGCTTGTGAAGGTTGAAGAACCGCTTTTTAGTGGCATGGACGAAGACCAAATGAACCCCAAGTCCCGAAATAGACCTCAAATTTCAAGATTGCCCGTGGGACATTTCCTATCTTGACAAGCTTACCGTCCTGTTGTCACTTTTGTAGTTTTTCGCTCAGTCACGCCAGTGGTGGTACGCAAAAGTGTGCAGTGCAGGCACACCAAGAGCTTCTGGACCGGTTGGAGGTTTGGTTCGACAGGATCGAGGACGCTGGGCCATCCACCAGTGTTATGCTAAACAACCAATGAATGACTCAACTCACAAGTTATCATGAGGTGTTGCTCGTTATTTCCTCGTCCTTCTGCCCTAAGCTGCGGGTATGTACGGTGAGACGGATCGTCAGTGACCATTTCGCTATGCTGACGGTGATGGCCACGCGTCGCTGTGGCTGTCTGCTTCCGCTTGAAATGCTCTCTGCTATCTTTGGTGCCTCCCAGGACGTCCTCGAACGGCGGCCAGGACCACACGAGGCCCAGAGAGCCTGCGGCCTGTGGAAGCTTTCAGAAGTCCCTTGACATTTTGAGGCCAGTTTTTTTCCATTCTGGCAGGCCCATCGCTTGGAACTCTCGTCGGCTTCGGAAAGGAACTCATTCAACGCAACTTCGGAGTATGTTGACTCTCGGAGCACTTTTTTGGCAGCTTTTTGCAGTCTGAGTTTAGTCCTTTCGCATCTCACGGAGGAGTCCTCCGGCCGACCTAAGGAGGAGGTTGCAAAGCAAGCATCCGTGCTTGCGGTGAACCATTCCTTGCACACATTGCCGTCTGGGCTGACCGTGAACCAGGCTGCGACGACCAAAACCTCTCCCGCTGACGAGTATGCACAGGCGAAGGAGCAAGGGTCTCGGATGGAGTCCTTCAAGCAGTACGTGTCCTCCAGCCAGGTCGCGTCGAAACCGCAAGGCAGAGTAGCCCAAGGCCTTGAGTGCATTCAACAATCCGCTGCCTATCTGGCAGACAGCTTGGCTTTTAACGTTTTTTTCGCCATTGTGATCTTCAGCAACTCTGTGTTCCTTGGTATGCAGCTTGAGTGGAGCGCCCTGAAAGTCGACAAGTTCGTGGAGCCGGCGTTTCTGGTGGCCCATATGGTCTATGCCGTCTTGTTCACGTTGGAGATGAGCGTGAGAGTGGCCGCGGTGGGCGTTCGCAGCTACTTCTTTGGCCAGAGCTGGGCCTGGAATTGGCTGGACGTCGTCGTGGTGGTCCCGGCCTGGGTGGAGTTGGCCATGGACTTCGCCATGCGGGGAGGTACCGAGGGGACCGGAACCAGCAACTTCCGCATCATCCGGGTCTTCAAGATCACCAGGCTCCTGCAAGTGGTGCGCTCCCTAAGAATCGTCCGCTTCATCGGGGCACTTCGGGCACTGGTGATGTCGGTGGTGGACACCACTCGGCAACTGATTTGGGCTTTGATATTGTTGGCACTTGTGATATATAGCTTTGCCATACTCTTCACCGACGCATGCCAAGACCACATGTTCCGCAATGGACGCGTGGACAGCATGGATGAGCACTTCGGCAGTGTCTATGCGTCAAGCACAACGCTCTTCCAATCGATCTTAGCTGGCATGGACTGGAAAGTCGCCGCAGATTCGCTGCTTCCGCTGGGCATTTTCTGGGTCCAGCTCTTCAACCTCTACATCGCTTTCTGTCCCTCTTGCAAGAGTTGGGGACCACCGTTTAATCTTTCAAGTGTAGTATGCCGACAGCTCCAGCATAAGCTTTCGATCGGTTCTCTTTTCGACAGGTGGATTTGCTGTACTGAATGTGATGACGGGCGTCTTCGATCTTTGGCGTTGATTGGCGCCGAGGTTGCCTCGTGTTGCTTTTCGCCAAGAGCTGAGGTCAACAGTGCCATAAAGACTCGGGAGAAGGACCACGAAACCATGATGCGCCTCGGCTTTGCTGCTCAGACCCTAAAGCCCTGATTTCTTCGGTCCCGAGGCAGAACGTGCAGCGCTTCAAAGATTTGGTGGCGAAGGCGCAGCTTTTTCAGACGAAAGCCTCCTCTTTTTGGGGGTTTTGGGCCCTTCTTTAAGCTTTGAGGTGTGGAAGAAGATCGACGTCTCTGGCCTCGGGCAGCTGACGATTTCGGAGTTCGAGCAGATCTTCAAAGATGAGGAGCCCTGTGGGTGTCGCGACTCCTGGGAATGATGGTCTCATGACTCATCACGATGTATGACGATGTATGACGATCATGGCGATCACGATGGTGATGGCCATGGTGACGGTGTGAAGGAGCGGTAGTTAACTTGGCCTTCGCCTGAGAACATTGAAGTCCGAGACATCCTGCGCTTTGAAGTCCGCAGACCGTGAGATGCCGAGAAGCAGAGAGACTCTGAGCAGACGAGGACATGATGGCATTTTTTGATGCCATCGAAATCAATGCCGTGGATGTCGCTTGGTGGCAAACGGGAAGTCCGTCAAGGATAGGGTGAGACATGGTGAAGTTTTGTGAGTCGTACTGTCCAAGAGGGTGCCATTGAGTTGGAACTGGCAGTTACATGTTGAGGCCTGGACACTTTTCGACAGCCTCGATGCTGACCGAGATCACTTGGCTCCTCGGTTACAGGAGAGATGACACCACTGTTTTGCACCTGACAGACTGTGGCTCGTGGCAACGGGCCAAGGTGAGCTACGAAGAATTTTCGACGCCGCCCGATCGGAACATGACAGCCTGTGGAGAGCAGTAGTGGCTTTCTTCTTGCCTGTTTCCAAAGTCGGCTTGTTCTAGACCCTCCATGGAGTGGTTGGATCTGAGTTTTAGAGACTTGCAGCTGGGCTTACGCGGCTGAAGCTAACAGGCAAGCTCGCAGCCTCAGCTCCTAAGGAGATGCATGCAATTGCATGGTCCCGCCCGATCTGTGGACCTCTTTGCGCTCAAGTCGCAGCCACCAGGATTTCTTTATTCATTTAGCATCGTTTCTGGCGCCAGGTAACACCGTCTGAGGGGTGCCATGTACTGAGGCAGGACAAGATGTGGAATCAGACTCTTGGCAGACATCTGCAGAAAGCGGAACTGCACGCACGCACATCCCACTGAGTGTGAATGAAGCATCTGTAAAAACCAGTAATTGAGAAGGAGAGAGTCAGAGTGTGCGCAGTATGAGTGTTCTCTTCCTTTCCGCAGGCTCAAGAGCCTCGAAACGATCAGCGAAGCGAGTGCGGTGCAGATCGGAATGCTATTGCGAGTGGTGGCGACGGAACGGACTGGGTTGCTTGGCCCGGTGTGTTCTGGTTTCTTGGGGCTTGGCCAAATTGATCCACCCAGGCAGAGGATGGATCCCGGCTCTTCCACCTGGGGCGTGTAAGGACGCGTTCCCCGGCAGAATGCCCACATGCTCGGGGCCCGCGTCGAGCGGATCCTTTTGGGTCCCGCCGAGGTTCCTTCGAAAGTGCTTCCTGAAAGGGCCCCAAGCCCTAAAGCGCGTGTGCGTCAGTGTAAAGACGTCGAAGTGGGCCCCGGCGGATCCTTCCAAGATGGCCCCGGGGTTCCAGAAAGCTTTGAGCTGTGCTTTGTGGATGTCTCCAAGTGCGGCTATCCTTACTTCATCACAGCCACCCAACACCACTTCCACCACCACCAGAATATACCAGTACAGCGGCTTGTACCTCTGCTAGTACTACTACTGAAGTTACTACTGTCACTACTACTACAACGACGACGACGACTACTACTACTACTACCAC